ATGGATGGAAATAGGTGTTCCATCTAAAAAGAATGGAAACTAACGGTCCAAATGTTTTATTGCTAAAATTATTATTTATAGTTTTAATTTTTTTTTTTTTCATATTCATGATATCCATGTTAGAGTTTACATGTCTTTGAAAATTAACTCGTAAAATCCATCTTAAAAAAGATTTATTAAGATGCTTGCATTTCTACACATGCGGGCTTGGCCGCATAGAAACCGGGGCCTACTTGAATATTGGCTTATGAGAGAATGGGCGATCACCTCAATTACTTAATTATTTAAGGGGTGAGGTTTGTATAAGGTGTCAACCTCATACTATTGCAGTAAGGTGCACTTCAAAATATGTCGAAAATGTACTTTCGGTGCCATAGAGCTTTGTGATGATATGAAAATCTATTATTTCTCCAAATTATAAAATTTAAAGTTTCCAAAATAGTGACGATTAAGCAAATCTATAAATACTTTAAAATTTTGAAAATGGAAGGTCTAGATAATATGTTAGAAGATTAACTATAATTAGGGCTAGAAATCCCCCCTTCCCCCCCCCCCCCCCCCCCCCCCCTTTTTTTTTTTTTTCCATGTGTATGAATTTTGAGGTCGAGATGATCGGTTTGAGATTGCCCATCATGAGAACAACCTTCTCTAGTGGTTTTTTAGGTGCACCCTACTCGTATAGTATAAGGTTAATACCTTATATAAATTTTGTCCTCATTTAAGTACCCAACCCATACGATATAATAAAATATATAAAAAAAAAGAAGAGAAGAGAAGTATGATAAAAAAACTTAAAATATATAAATATTAATAATAATAATAATAATAATAATTATTACTGGTACTCACAAAGGTGATAATGGCAATACAAATCAATTACTTTTAAGGGTGCGGTTTGTATAATGTCGAAGCCCTAAACAACCAAAATAAGGCGCATCTTCAATTTGTGTCGAAAGATGTTGTTTTAGTATTGGGAAATCTTTATGATAGCCTAAAAGTTTATTGTTATATTTAATTATAAAATTCAAAGCTCTAAAAATAGTGTAGATCAAGCATATACATAAACGCTTTAAAATCGAGGTCCAAAAAATACATTAGAAGATGCACTGTTTTCATGACTTAAAATATTTTTTTTTTCATATCCATATATCTTGAGGTCGAGATTATCGATTTGAAGATTTTTGGGCACCAAAACAACCTCTTCTAGTTAATTTTGAGGTACGACTTAATTTGATTGTTTAGAGCTTCACCCTTATATCAATTTTTTTCCTTACTTTAAAAGTATATATATAAAAAAATCACTGAGGGATAAGGTTGGGAATTGGGTTGGGTCAACCGTGATGAGCGGATAAATCCAACATCAGTCGGGGTATGGGTCTTGCTTTTGGACTTGGTGGGTTGGGTACAGATCCTAAAGCATGGACTTAGATGTAAATCGGGTCAAGTCCAGGTCCATATCTACCTGATTTGTGACCCTAAATCGGGTCAGGTCCAGGTCCATATCTACTTGATTGGTAACCCATATATATACACACGCATACTAACCAAAAAAAAACCTAATGTGTGTTAAGGAGGCCTTTCCATCATTTGAAAGGACAGTTGGGATTTAAAAGTTTGCCTAACTTGTACTTTCAATTTTCATTTTCTTAATAGCCCCCTCTTCTACTCCCCATTCTCTCCTGCCTCACTACTTCACTCTTCTCTCTCCCCTCTTTCAGCTTTTCCTCCGGGCGCATTTGTTTTTCTAATAGATATCTTTTCAAAGTTGAATATTTTGTTTTTGGAAGGTCTAAATAAGTTTTTGATATAGATAATATATGCATATTAATTATATAAATATAAACATATAATATAATATAATATATAATATATTTTATATATTTTATTAACGTATATTTATATTATATACAACATATAATATAATGTTTATTATAATATAATATAAGATATATTTATATTATATATAATATACAGTATAATATAATATATTTGTATATTATGTATATAATATTTATATTATTATTTATTAAATTGTATTCAATATTTATTTAATATAATAAATATATGATTTATAATATAACATAATATATTATATGATTATATATAATATAATATAATATTTGTATTATTATAATATATAATATATAAATATATTATGTTATATTATATTATTATATTATAAATAATATATTTATTATATAACATAAATATTACATCCAATATATATATATTTAATATAATAAAAATATATATAAGATTTATATAATATATAATATAATATAAATATATAGTAATGTTATATATTACATATAATCAGTGTTTAAAAAAACGCCGAGTCGAACCGGACTCACCCGGTTCTACTCGAAAATCGCCATGGACTGGTCGATTCGACGAAATAAACGTGAATCGCCCGGTTTTAGAGAGAACCGGACGATTCTGTACAGTGACTCGCCGATTCACTGTACGGAATCGGCGAGTCCGTACAGTGAATCGGCGAGGCCCGTACAGAACTTATTTTTTTTTTTTTTTTTTTTTTTTTTTTTTTTTTTTATTTTTTTTTTAGAAC